GTGACCCCCCTGCACTTCTGGTTTCTGTGTGTGTGTTCGCCTCGCCTGTGGCATCCCGAGTCGGGCAGGCGGTGGCTCTCAGCCCTGCTGCTCTGGCCGACTGCTTCTAGGACTAGCACGGAGAGCTCGTTTCTAAGTCTGTACATGCAAAATCGTGTGGTGAAACAGCCAAGGCTGAGTTGTTTGGGTTTTTTTAATATATTTTTTATTGATTTCAGAGAGAAAGCAAGAGGGAGAGAGAGAAACATCCATGGTGAGAGAGAATCATGGATCGGCTGCCTCCTACACGACCTCTCCTGGGGATCGAGCCTGCAACCCGGGCCTGTGCCCTTGACCGGAATCGAACCAGAACCCTTCCGTCCACAGGCCGACGCTCAATCCATTGAGCCATACCGGCCAGGGCCGAGGCTGAGTTTATTGAATGAGGTGGATGAGCAAGTCGGCCTCTGGGTCCCTCCCCTGGTCAGCGCCTTGCCCGTGAGCCAGGGATGTATACGAGAACGCACGCCCGAGCCCTCCACAGGGACCCCGTGCTCCGTCACGGCGCACTCCTCCCGCAGAGGCGTGACGTGGAAGGGCCGGCAGCCACGCGGCTGAGTGGGAAATGAGACCAGCCACACAGCAGGATGCCGAGCAGCCTTCAGAGCAGGCGCTGCGGGACCTCGGGGGGAGGCGGGAAGGCTGTGTTCCTGGTCGGTAGGGGGAAGAACCGTGTTAAGTGGCTGTATTTTCCCTTTTAAAAATTTTTACAATAATGAGGGCACGTAGAATGCATGTGCAAGTAAACTTAAAAGGAAGAACCAACAAAATATGAGTAGAGACCTATAAGCAGTGCACGCATGTAGAATTCTGTACATTCAAGTGCACGCAGAGGCCGTGTGACAGCGTGTGACTCGCCCCGCATCTGTGCGTCAGGGCTCTGTGCACACGCAGACGGGCCGTGGGGACGGGAACCACCAGCCTGCCCTGGGCCGGGGCAGAGGCCAGTGTGGGGAGGCGACCCTTCTGCTCGCATTGCTGGGGTTTGCGCAGAGCCTGCGAGCTGACAGCAGCCAGCT